CAATTTTTTGTTTTCTAGTTCCATCCTGCAAACTTCATGACTTCATTTTCTTTACAGCTGAATAGTATTCCACTGTGGATATGCACCACATTTTCGTTATTTAGTTGTCAGCTGAAAGATGTTTAGGTCATTTCCATTTCCTAGCCATCGTGTACAGAGCAGGAATGAACATGACTGAGCAAGTACCTCTTGGAGCAGGATGTTGAGTCCTTTGAGAATACACCAAGAAGTGGTATGGCTAAGTCAAGTGGCAGATTGGTTTGTCTGGTTGTTTTGATTTTTCAAGAAGAGTTTCTCTGTGTGGTCCTGGATGTCCTGGAATTCACTCTCGCCTCTAATTTGAAGATACACCAGCCTCTTCCCGGTGGGATTAAAGGTGTGCGCCACCATGCCCAGCAAGCAGGTTTATTTTTAGCAGTAGAGGCAATTTCATATTCCAAACCCTTCAATCAAAGCAGAAAACCACCCTCACTACATCTCTACAAACAGCGCCTTCCTTTTAGGGGCCCCAGAAAAGGAGGCTTCAAACAAGGACTGTTCTTGAACATTCTCTCTCATTCGGGTGGTCTGCTGCTTTTTATAAGTAACACATATATGCTTATATGTATTATTTTGTACTTTTAGGTAGATAGATAATATCATCTGTACTATTGTGCTTTTTGATAAAATGTCCTTACTACTTTGCAATCTATGTGCACCTTTATTTCAGTTATTTGAATTAGATGCCAAGAACCTGAGATGCTCTGTCTAGACATCGACCACAAGTAACAAGAAGAAGGCTGGGGATATCATTTAGTGATGGAGCACCTGCCTTCTACCCATAAGACTCTGGTTTCATTCTCCAGTATGGAAAAAAAAATAGGCAGCATAATACCAGCATGAGAATAAACACATACAAGCAGGAGAGATGGCTCAGCAATTAAGTATTCAATACTCTTCCAGAGGACCCAGGAATAGATTCCCAGCGCCCACATGGCGCCTCACAACTGTCTGTAACTCCAGTCCCGGGAGCTCCGATGTCCTCTTCTGACCTCGTCAAGCACTGCACACGTGCTAACGTAAACATGATCACAGCTGCAGGCAAAACGCCCCCATACAGAAAATAAAAATAAACAATAAGATCTTTGTTTTAAAACGAAAAGCCAGGTGTGGTCGTGCACTTGGGGAGGCAGAGGCAGGCAGACCGCTGTGAGTTCGAAGCCAGCCTGGTCTACAATGCAAGTCCAGGTCAGCCAAGGCTACACAGAGGAACCTATCTTGAAAAAGAAAGAAATTGAAGGAGAGAGAGAGAGAGAGAGAGAGAGAGAGAGAGAGAGAGCAAACCAATAGATCAATAGAGTAGAATTCAGAATAAAAAGTAAATCTCCGGGAACTAGGGCTGTAGCTCTGTGGTGGATGCTTGCCTAGCATGTATGAGGTCCTAGGTTCTATACCCTGTATGGCCAATACATAAATTACTACATCTTCACATTTGTGGTCAATTATTTTTCACAGAAACACAAAACTTAATTCAATAGAGAAAGAGTAATCTTGTCATCATATGGTGCTATAATGAGATGTGGGACTCACCTATGTAATCTCAGTGCTCCAGAGATAGATGGAGGAGGGTTAAGAGTTCAAGGTCATCCTCAGATACACCGTGATCTTGAGGCTAGACTGGGATAGATGAGTCCCTGCCTCAAAATAACAACAAAAAGCCCAAAACGCAAATGATATCCCCACACAGAAGAAAAAAATTGAATACTGTATTGAGGGGTGAGGTGGATATATGTTCATTGGTAGAGCATTCACCTAGCATAGTCAAGGCCATGGGTTCTATCCTTAGCACCCGCACCTAGAGATGAGGGTGCTATTAAATCCTATTTTATATTATATACAAATTTTATCTTAAGTGGTTCAAAGTATGAGTTATGAAACATAAAGCTTATTAAACTACATATAGGCTGTGCTGGGGATAGCACCTATGGCTTTGTATATGATAAACAAATGCTCTCCCATCTGAGGTAGAGCCTCAGCCTCTAGCAGTAAGTCTTGGATATGACAATGGCTTCTTAGATTTGATACCCACAGCATAAGCAGTCAAAGACAAAATACATTTGGTTTACTCAATTTTTAAAATATTTTGTTCTTTTTTTGTTTTCTCAAGACAGGGTTTCTCTGTGTAGTCCTGGCTGACCTGGATTTCCTTAGTGGACCAAGCTAACCTTGAACTCACAAAGATCTGCCTGCCTCTGCCTCCCAATTGCTGGGATTACAGGCATGTACCACTATGCTTGGCTAGTTCTCTCTCTCTCTCTCTCTCTCTCTCTCTCTCTCCTGTTGTTGGGACCTAGAAAGTTCTAAAGGCGGAAATTCTAAAGGGAACCTTATTAAGACTCAGGAAACAACTCAAAAGTCTCAGGAAGTTACTGAAACTAACCAGATTCATAAGGCCGCTCTCTACCCGTGATCATAGAAAAAGTAAAAGCTGCTGAGAAGACAAACAAGACCAGCTGCCTGCAACTTTTAAGAGCCATCAGCCACGCAGAAGAGGAATTTTGGTCACTCCGTTAGTTATGTATCCATTACTGTGATAAAACATCATGACCAAAGCAACTTATAGAAGGAGGGTTTGATGGGCTTACAATTCTAGAGGAATGAGAGTTCATTCCCATGGGGAAGCTTGGAAGAGGGCAGACATCGTGGCTGGAACAGCAAGCTGAGAACTCACATTTTAAACCACAAGCATGACGCAGAAAGAGAGAAATAAGAACGGCTTAAACCACAAACGGCTTCCCACCCCCAAGCAAGGCCTTACCTCCTAAACCTATCCAAATAGCACCACCAACCGGGACCAAATATTCAAACATTTGAGCCTATGGGGGCCATTCCCATTTTAACCACCACAGTGATGGAGGGTCTTTGAGTAATTTCTGTTGCTGTAAGTAGCCCCTCACTTCAGGAGTATTCTTACTTTGGCTATCATCGGTTCCCTACTTGGGGTGGGAAGACACTTGTTCACTCTCTCTCTCAGGAGTAGTGTCACGCAGCACTACAACACAATGTAAGTAGCATTGCCCCAGTCAACTCCAAGCAAGTTCAGAAGACACAAATGAGCCACATACAACCAGTGCCTCTTACCTACACCAGGCCTGGCTCACTGATACCTCAAAGTGGTCCTGGATGGCAGCATTGAAGGAGAAGCCCCTGAGGACACAGCTTCAGCAGAGTACCATGCCATCTTCCTACATGGAGAGAAATACAAGAGAAAGGAGGCAAGGCCACGGGCAAGGAAGGAGGAAGCCTCACAAGACATCGCAGAGGTGTTCCTGGGCCCCGGCCTTGCCCTCTCTTTCCGAGCAGAACTCCGAGTGAGAGTAGTTGGCTACCTCATGCCTCTGGGCATGGTAGTGGGTTTAGGCACAGGTGTTCTCTACGGTTCTATATGAAGGTCGGCTAGACAAGGTTTCTCCATCCAGAGGAACATGGAACAGGTCTAGGGCTGTGGCAGACATTCGTTAATCACAGGGCAGGCTGGAAGGGTGCACACAGAGTAAGTGGTGACATTCCTGTGCCTCTCAGATGAAGGCACTCTGGGACTCTTGGGACAGAGATGAGCCTGCAAGGCCCATCACATCAAGTCCGCAGAGTCCTCCGTGGCAGCAGACTGCAGTCAGAAGAGCCCACAGAGGCACGGTACCCTGAGAGGAGGCTGAGGGGGTATGCTGCCTGCAATGGCAGCTAATGCGTCTGGGCCCTCGACCCTGTGTCAGCGCACTTCTGGACATCTCGTATCTAGTAATTGCTTAAACTCTAAGAACAGGGTCTCACCATGACGCTCTGACTGGCCAGGAACTTTTCACATAAGTTATTGAACTTACAAAGATCTATCTGCCTCTCAAATAATGCTGGGATTAAAGGTACAACCATATCAGACCTTCTCCCCCCCCCCCCCCCCCCCCCCCCCCCAGATCTCACTAGACTTGCTTTTCCCTCTAGAGCCCTGGGATTCTGCCACTACAGATTTGACTCACCATTCTCAACACCTGTCCCCTTAAGAATAACTCATGATAGTATTATGTATTGGACAACCCAGGTGAAGGAGCCTTTGGGATGTCTTTCAGAGCCAGAAAGCTCCAGTAGTGAGGCAGTCTATTGCTCTGTCCTGTGAGACACATAAAATATTTTCAGAGCTCAAAAGCAAAGTGTCTTAAGCAAATGGCCGGAGGTTCAAGGCTTCGTAATTGAGAATGGCATAAGTTGGGCCGGTCACGTGGCTGGGGACAATGGGCAGAGCAGAACCGACCTGGGCAAGGGGGAGGGGAAGGGCATGTGAAACAGCCTTGTAGACAGGTGGTTTGAGGAGGAGGATGTTGAGTATGAGAGATCGGGGCAAGGGTGTCAGGGGCTTCTGAGAGAGGAGGCAACAAGAAGACTGGGAACATCTTTTAGACCCTAGAAAGAACACATAGAATTGGTGGCTCTCGCCCTTTGATCCCAGCATTCTGGAGACAAAACCGGGTGAATCTCTGCTTGGAAGTCAGCCTCAGTTTCCCATTCTGGAGATGGTTATTTGCCACACGAAGTTCAGACCTGGCCTTCGAAGTGAGCAAGAACTGTGAAGTGGGATCAGCCTACTGCCAAGGGTGCGGGGCTCATTCGAAGTAGGGGAGCAAGAAATTCGGATTCCAGGAAGCTCCACTTTCATGGGTGGCAACAGAACAAGGAAGTCTGCGACAGAGAGATGGCTGGGACCATGTGCTTTCGGAGGTCTACAGAGTCCAGGCATCCCTCCCAGCAGGCGACTGTGCTGCTGGGGAGAGAAAGGGTGGGCTCCTGAGCCCTTCCTTTCCCTCCAGCTCTGGTCCTGGCGGAGCGCAGGGCTCCCTCCCGACAGCGCGGCCCCCTGCACCCAGACGGAGGGGCTCGCCCTCCTCCGTGGCTGGGGATTAGTTCTCTGAGAACTGGGGACGGGATTAGCACGCGCGAACTCTGCGCCCGGTCCACACCTCCCACCCCCAATGTATATATTCTGCCGCTCGCGCCGACCGCCCGCGGGCATGGCGACTACAGGCAGCGCAGCGGGCCGCAGGGACCCGGGACGACCCTGCCCCTTCTCCATCGAGCACATCCTCTCCAGCCTGCCGGAGCGCAGGCCCTCGGCGAGGCCACTGCAGCCCGTCGGTGGCCGGAACCCCGCCGAGCCCGACGAACCCGAGGCGCCCGCCGCCGCTGCGCCCTGCGCCTGCTGCTGCTGCTGCGGCCCGCGCCCCGTGCCCCGCGGAGCCCCGGAAGCGGCCTCCGGGCAGGGTGAGTGCGCGCGGGGGTGGGGTGGGTGGCTGGGTGCGGGCCCCGGGATGCCGCAGGGCTGCTGGCGGGGCGAGTCCGGCTCCCACCCAACCCCTAACCCTACGCCCGACCTCGTCCCGCCCCGCCCCGCAGGCGTGCGCTTAGCGTGGCCGCTGAGGCTGGCGCCGGCGCCGCCCTCCCCCTTGACGGCGCCCACCGCGGGTTCCCCGGCGCCCACCGGCCCGAGCGGCCCCGGGCCGCAGCGGCGCACGCGGCGCCACCGTACCATCTTCAGCCAGGAGCAGCTGCAGGCGCTCGAGGCGCTCTTCGTCCAGAACCAGTATCCCGACGTGGGCACGCGCGAACGCTTGGCGGTCCGCATCCGCCTGCGGGAGGAGCGCGTGGAGGTGGGTGTTCGTCCCGCAGCCCAGAGGCCAACTCACGGCGCCACTCTTCCCTTTCAAAGACCGACCTTCCAGATGATGCCTCGCCGTCTGGTGTCTCATCGTGGGAGGGGGACCCCCACGATCACTCGATGGCGACGCAGGGCCAGTTCCTCCAGCACGTTCTTTGGGTGTCACCGGGACTGGAAGGGGTTAGGAGTTGTTTTTTTCTGACTTTGTTCGCCCTCCCCGTTTCCCCTGATGATGAAATATGCGTTCGTTCCTGCCCCAGATGTGGGAAAGTTAAGAAATGTGCAAAAGTGGCCACGCATGGTGGCACGCAGCTGTAATCCCAACACGGGGGATCCGAGTTTTTTCATCAGCACATAGCGAGTCAGCTTAGATTACGTGGAGAGAGGGGAGAGGAGGAAAAAGGGGAGGGAGGGAGAGGGAGAGAGAGTGACCGACTGACTGACTGACTGACTGACTGACTGCTTGACTGCTTCTGAGCCCAGACTGGGGAGACTCGGGAAGTCTTGATCATTTTCTACTGTGTGTGGACGAGGGAAAGTGACACAGATCCATTCCTTTGTAATGAAGCTTAACACCCGCTCGGCTGGCTTATCAGCTCTTCCGGAGTTCTTGGGATGTCTTTGGGGCCTGAGCTGTCCTGGTCCCCCTTCTCCTTAGGTCTGGTTCAAGAACCGCCGGGCCAAGTGGCGACACCAAAAGCGTGCTTCATCATTGAGGCTCCTGCCTGGGACCAAGAAGCCTCCAAAGGAGAGCTGTTGATGGTATCTGCAGTTTTCCCGGCTTTGGCGGTGATGCGGAGAACAACAGAGTAGGAGGGGACAGACCTACTTGATCAGGAACTAGGAGAGGACGACAGCCTCTTCGTTGCTCTTGCAGTGTCCAGCTGCCCAGTGCTGGGAGAGAGGGGATCCAAAGCCCTCCCTTCATGGGTGAGGAACCCGTGAATGAAGGGCACCTGGGGCGGGAAGCAGAAACCTCCTGCAGGCAAAGTAGATCAACTTCTTCAGCCACCATTGCCACCCAAGACCCCACTCAGGACCCAAAATCCTCTGGAGTGGAGCCTCCCTCCCAACCTCATGTTTCTACAGAACTGGCCTCCTGTCTGTTCTTCTACCTTCTAGGAAGTGTCATCTGCACAGTCCTGGGCTTACTCTGTCCTCAGAGGCCCTGCACTGGACCTTCGTGTCAGGACCTGCAGGATAAGAAGGCTATGGTTGGTATTTTCCGTATCTCTGCACCTGCCCCTTCATCTCATCCTTGTGTTGATGTCAAGAAATAAACAAGACGTACAAATACCGAAAAACAGTCCCCGGGGCTCAGGCTTCGTTTCCACACCTAGTGAGGAGCTGGCCCATTTCCAGGGAAGTGGGGGATCAGCATGTTTTGGAGAGGCAGCTCAACAAGTCCCCCATTCCCATGTTTCCCAATCAAAACTAAACCGGGGGGGGGGCGGTGGCAAGGCCTCCTGAGGATTTGCCATGGCCTCCAGGCACTACCAACCTGCTTCACAGATGGGAGATCTTTGCTTTCTTGTTTGTGGGGGATTCCATACAGTGGCATCTGCCAATAGGGTGGGCAAGAGGAGGTTAAATTAAGGGAGCATCTCATCCTCGCTGCCTTCCGTAATCCTGGTCATACAGGAGCATGGGGGAAGGGCACCACAGTGTGAAAACCTAGTTTCTTTCAGTTCTCTGATGACCTGTGCAGTGGAAAGGGATCAGTGTGAGAAGGCAGCTAACGCCCCCTGCTCCTGCCCAGATCTTCCTGCTCTGTCTCCTCACAGGTCCTGAGGGGTGTGGTGGTATCTTCAAGAGAAGCCAAACTGTAGAGCTGATGGCAGGGGGTCTTGGTACTGTGTAAACATGGCTGGTTTGGAGAATACTAAGCAGGCCTGTGTCCCCAGCCAGAGCTGTCCTGATCCTGCTGGAGACCTCCAGGAAGGGATTCTTGTCCCTAGTCCCTTGGATGGACACTGAAGGCTGCCACCAGATTCTTCTTCCTGAATTCTGGCCTTTCCTCGGAAGACTGCACTGTCTAGCTCCAGACACAGCTGTCCTAGAGGTCAGCTCACCTTTGGGCATGGGCCTTCACATTGTACTGGGTTTCAGGACCATGTCCTCCTTGGAGCTCCAGAGTCTGAGCTGGTCTGAGCCTCTGCCCTCCTCTGATTGTCACCTTCCCCTGCAGAGGCTCCTTGCAGCCCCCACCTGACACTTGCCATTAACAAAGCGGCCAGAGGCTCCATCTTAAGGCTCTTTCATCTCCATTCTCTTCTTAAACGTGTGTGTGTGTGTGTGTGTGTGTGTGTATGCATGTGTGAGTGTATTGTCTGCATGCATCCACGCACCACGTTTGCCTCGTGCCCGCGGAGATCAGAGGAGGGTGTCGAAACTGGAGCTCTGGCTAATTGTGTGCCCCTGTATAGGTGCTGGGAACTGAACCCAGGTTCTCTAAAAGAGCAACAGTGCTCTTGACGGAGGAGCCGTCTCTCCAGCCCCCTTCAATCTCTCTTGATGTATCTTTTCCATCTGTGGGCTTCAGTTCACAACTCTTGGTCACATATATCTCCATCTCCAGTCCAGGCCTTTCCCCTGAGTTAGGTATTTGTCAGTCTGTCCCACACAACACTTGGAAGGCCACAGGCTCCTCACAGATGCCATGTATACAGTGAGCCATTTCCCTGTTCATTGGCCTGCCTGAGGCACATGAATCACAGAGTTCTTGATCACCAATCGCTCTTTGTCCCTTGCCTGATCATACCCAGTCCAACCAATTTTACCTCCAAATACATCAATAAACCCCAGAAATTAGCTTCTCTGCAGCTCCAGCTGCACCAACCCGATAAAGATTTGTCATCACTTTGCACTGCGACCATGGCAGCTTTCTCTAGTTTTCACCTGAACCTGCTCTGGCCTCCTTGTAATTCAAAATAAAAAATACTGTTTCTTGCCAGGAAGCCAAAGATACTGTGTGACCTAGAGCTACCCTTCTTCACTGTATAACCAAAGGTCTGCTTTGGGATTTGCCTTGCTCCATCCCCTGGGCCTTTGCACACGCCTTTCCATTTGCACATGACTGATGCCTATCCAGTCAACCTTTGGATCTACACCCGCGGTCTGTCTGGGGAAATGAATTCTACAAGAATCCTGTGTAGAAAGCAAGAATGCAAGTCACAGTTGTAATTTTACACATTTGAGGGATGACTTTACGTGTGTTTTGTCTATTGCGTGGCCAACTCTATGGAGGCAGGGACACCATCATAAAGTTCCCAGGGACTCACAATGAAGGAAGAAATCATTGGGAACGCAAAATGGTACCAAATCATTGTGGGCTAGAATTTGTTCGCTTGGCGTAGTTCATGATCTCCCTTAGGAAGAAAGTTCAATGAAAGCTTTCAGAGAGAACGGGTCTCTTGGGAAGTTGACCCTGGCAGGCAGGGAATGAATAAATCTAACCAGAGCTTTAAACACCCTCTTGTTCTTTCTTTTCATTGACCTTTTGTTAGATAACTGTCTGGAAAGAATTGTCTTAGTGTTCTTTTTTTGAGTTCGGAAGTCATATATAACCCTTTTTTAAAGTATTTAAAACGACTTTGAAGCATATGCAGTTTTTTGTTGTTGTTTTGTTTTGTTGAGAATTGAAACTTCTAAGAGAGGGAATGTTGCATCAACTAGTCGCGCCAGAGCGCCCCCTAGTGACCATAGTCGAGACAGGCATGAGATGTGCGGACTACAACTCCCTTAAGATCCGGCGCTCCCAGTGACATCATTGGAGCGCCGGCTTTGTTAGAAAAATACTGCTTCCCCATTGGCTGGCTGTTGGAGCGATGCCTACGCCGCCCGGGCGGTTCTGGGATAGCGATGGGGACGCCTGGGTCCTCGGCCGGCGCTCTGCTTCTGCCCTCCGCGTCCGCGCCCCCGAGGAAGCGCGCGGCCGGGGAGGCCGGAGTTGCGAGAAGCAAGCAGCGGGTCCTGGATGAAGAAGAGTACATTGAGGTAGCAGCTTAGCGAAAGCGCTGGCGACTTCCGGGCCCCTCCCCCGGTTCGCGTTCCTCTCCGGTTCTTTGAATTGTTCCTAGTCGGGGCACTCTCAGCGGAACAACTGCCTTTGGGTTTGGAAAGTCTTGAGAGCCAAGAAAACAGTGCAGAAGCGGGTGTCCAGCTTTCAGCGAGAAACGGAGCCGTTCTGTTGTCTGTCGAGGGTCAAGGAAATAAAGTTTCCGATTAAAGTATGGGTAGGATTTTGACACGTTTTTAGGGTGATGGAGAAGAGGACTTTCTGGAAGGGAGTGACAGTAAGGGTCAAGGCTGGGGGTCGTGCAAATAGACAGTGGAACTGGCCGCGTCACTGATGGACCTCGGTTGCTCCTCAAGTTAGGGGTCCCACTGCAAACACGCTGGAGGACAAGCTGACCTCTTAGACTGGTTAAATTTAGGAGCTTCTGGGATATACTGGTATGTAGCATCGCCACGCAGCTGCACGCACAGAATTGCAGCTCCACAGCAAGGCCTGGCTGGAGGTGAAATGTTGTGGGTTTCATCCGGGTGGTGGCGGTATTGGTGACTGGCCTTCAAGAGACAGGTTTGGCTTGAAATAAAAATTCATGGGCGGAATGAGGACGGCAGCGTCCACATTGGTCAGGCTGGTGTATAAATGGAGCCAGCAAAGGAAAATGAGAAAGATCAGTTAGGGAGGGATTTCACAGGCATCAAGAGATTGTTCAGTGGTGTTAGGTAATACGCCAGAGCTATGTGACCTAAGCAGCCTTATTAGAAAATGCTTCTAGTCTCTCTTGCAAACCACAGTCATCGGGTGGGCAGAAGTGAAAGGAATGAGGGCTGAAGTGCGGATAAGGTAGACAGTGAGTCAGGGCTTCCAGATGCCAGCCTTGGTCTTTGTTCTGATTGCTTACAATAGGGACTCCAGACAGTCATCCAGAGAGATTTCTTCCCTGATGTGGAGAAACTACAGGCACAGAAGGAGTACCTGGAAGCTGAGGAAAATGGAGATTTGGAGCGTATGCGCCAGATCGCCATCAAGTTTGGCTCTGCCCTGGGCAAGATATCTCGGGAACCTCCACCACCCTGTAAGAGCATGCTGCCGTAGAGGGCACAGAAGAAGGTCTGTTGTCACTTTAGGCTGACTCTAATTTGCTTCCCTCAGATGTGACTCCAGCCACCTTTGAAACTCCTGAGGTCCATGCAGGCCCCGGTGTGGTGGGCAGCAAGTCCCGGCCCCAGGGCCGAGACCTAGATGATGGTGAGTGAACTCACTCCTTTGGTCTCATAGTCAAGACTGCTTGGGAAGCATATTGTTGTGAATTTTTTCAGGGTGACATTGCGTCCTTGAGGGGGTCTCCTAACCTATATATCAACTTTGGGGATTCAAGACACTGGTCTAGGAAGCGGAGATCTGAGTCCAGCTCCCAGTCTGGAGAAGCAGTGTTGTGTGCCTCTGGCCTGCCTCTGGAACGAGAGCCCATTGCTGTTTCAGTCTGTTCACAGTGAGCCAGCCTTTGCCTTGTAGGCTTTGTGGGCTTAGAAGGCTCTTTCCTTGCTGTCTCCTGAAGATGCTCCAGAGGCCCCTTCTACTTCCTTTCTTCCAAGCCAGTTGCTTGTTGCATCAGTTCAGGTGTTAACTGTTTGGACCAAGGGGCAGGCGCTGGTGTGGACTGTGAGGTTCCTGACCTTTGTGTAAAGTTGGAACATCCTGGGCCTCTGTTGCTCACAGACTGCCTTTGTTTTTCTGATTTGCTTATTTTGTTGAGAGCAGAGTCTCACTGTTTCCCTCACTGTAGGACATAATGTTTGGGAAGCACTTGTCCTGCCCCTCACCCCTATTTCTAGTTGCAAGCCTTCCCAGAGAGCAGAGTCTTGGTCTTGCTTCCATCTGTGTGCTCTACTTTGGGAATAGCACGTGGCGTGTTGTGCCATCAACAGACACATGTAGAGCAGAGGAGTGTGTTGTCTTCAACATGTTTCCATTCCATGCAAGTACGAGATGTATCTTAAGGTTAGGAGGAACACTTTATAAATCTGTTAAATCTGTGAGTGTGCCCATACTAAGGGACTTGTCCAGGTGCATTGGTCTTTTTATCAGTATGGGATATATCACTGGAGGTGGGCAAGATGATTCTACAGCAGGATTGAGTCTGCAGGGTACTGTGCTAGGGCAAATGTGCACCATGCTCACACAAGCATGGTTTCTCAACAGCCCAGCCTTTTCTGCCATGAACGCGGTAGTGGTTATTCTTGGAACTTGACTTGATTGAACTAGGACACAGTCACAGAGCAAATTGAAGATAATCTTTTTATGCATATAGTTTATCAGAAAACATAGGAGTCCTTGTAATTGCAGATGAGGAAACAGGCTCAAAAGGTACTTGTAGGTGACTTCTGTAGGAATAACAGTCAAATGGAATCCAAGTCTGCCTCTTTCTTTGCTTTTTTTTTTTTCCTCCCTTCATTTTTTGAGATAGGGTTTCTCTGTGTAGCCTTGGCTGGCTTGGAACTCGCTCTGTAGACCAGGCTGGCATCACACTCATAAATCCATCTGCCTCTGTCTCCTGAGTGCTGGGATTAAAGGCGTGTACCACCACTACCTGGCCCAAGTCTGCCCCTTTCTAACCTCAAGTCTTGAACTTGTAGCCACTGTGTTTGGTGTTGGCTGGCACATTGCTAGTGGTCAAGACAGTCCGTAGAATGGATGAGAAACCTAAGCTTCACACATTCCCCTGAAGTTTGCAGTGCTATGCCTACAAGAGTATCACTTTCCTTGGTGGCAGGGACTGAGGTTGTACGGTTGGCTTTTTGGAGCCCTGGGCCATATGGTCTCCTGTCTTAGAAATTAACTGCCATACCCTGATGCATTAGTGGCCACCATTCACCTATAGTGCCAGGCAGAAAGGGAAGGGTAGTTAGGGTAAGGCAATCCCAGGAAGGGAAGAACAACTCTCAGGGATTTGGAGGTAAATCCTATAGGATTAGTACAGTCTGGGCAGAGAAACAGCCTACTAAACTGTCATCATGAGCTCTTGCTTCAGTGTCTGTCCCTGCCCCTTCACCAGTCAATCAGATCACAGACTTCTCTTGACATCCAGCAGATGAGGAGAGCTGGCCAGTCAGCTGTGAATGCCATTGTTTCTGCCTGAACAGTTAGAGTCTATCTGTCACCTAGCAGGAGCCAGGGTTCCAGCTCTACAGAGTGATGTCATTCTGGTCTTTCCAGCCGTACAGTGGTAATCATGCTGTGTGTGGTATTGTGTTTCTCTACCTATGACCCCTTAGCAGGAGAGGTTAGAGATGAGGAGGAGAAGGAGCCGCTGCCCAGCCTGGATGTCTTCTTGAGCCGCTACACAAGTGAGGACAATGCCTCCTTCCAGGAGATCATGGAGGTGGCCAAGGAAAAAAGCCATGCCCGTCATGCGTGGCTCTACCAAGCTGAGGAGGAATTTGAGAAGGTATCCCTGGACTTTGAAAACATAGGCATCTTCTTTTGGGATGGAGTCCCAGGGGCACAGATACAGGGTCTGGGTGCCTTTCTGACCCTACTTTCCCCCCATGTTACTATAGCGACAGAAAGATAATCTTGAACTCCCATCGGCAGAACACCAAGCCATTGAGAGCAGTCAGGCTGGAGTGGAGACCTGGAAGTACAAGGCCAAGAATTCTCTAATGTACTATCCCGAGGGTGAGTGATGGGGCCTTGTGACAGGGCAGAAGACCAGGGTTACAGGGGTCTGTCATGTTACCTTTGAGCCAGCTCTAAAAACCTGTGTGTGTTCACTTGTGGCACAGAGCACAGAGAAGTCCTGGTCCATGCTGGGGTTGGGGAGTGTGACATTAGTGGGGCATTGAGCCCTCCCTTCATTGCTTTGTTCAGGTTCTCTAGGTGTGGTGTGTACATCAAGGTGGCCATTCTTCTGCTTGGCTGGGAGCGACTTTAGCTAGGAGGTTTGCCTTCAGCCTTGAGGTTGCGTGGCTTCTAAGGCTGAGGTGGGGCTTCCCACCCCTTTGATACCTGCTACCTTGCTCTTCCTTTGCCAGGTGTCCCAGATGAAGAGCAGTTATTCAAGAAGCCGCGGCAGGTGGTACACAAGAACACACGTTTCCTCCGAGACCCCTTCAGCCAGGCCCTGAGCAGGTCCCAGCTGCAGCAGGCAGCTGCCCTGAATGCCCAGGTGAGTGGGCAGAGCCACCAGGCAGCTGGGCAAACTGTGGTTGGGGAGCTTCTCCCTCCTTGGTTGTCCCCTTTAAGTTAGGATTTTCCTGAGGCTAAATGGAGCTTAATTGGCAAAACTGCCGCAGCCTCTGTGTGGCAGAACCCACCCAATGGGGCCACATAGGACCTATGAGTCCAGCTCCTCTGACGTTAGCCTGAGAGGAGAGAAGCTTCTGGAAGCCAACCCAGACCCGTGCCGATACATACACCAGGCAGGGAGGTGAGTAGAGCACTGTGTGCTGGAAAGTGCCAGAAGGAGCCTGACCACAGAGAACCTGGGATGAAGATGAGTGAGCAACCTTGGTGGGTGGCTCTGGTCATTGTGGGTTGGGGAGAGAGAGAGAGGCAAGGGTATGGGGAGACTTAGATGCCACGGGGAGAATCAGCTTTGCAACCCGCTTCTGCAGTCTCTCAAAACCCTGGGGAAGATATGAGAGTGGGGTCTTCCCTCTCTTTCCCAAAGGAATCTGCCAGTCCTGAAGCCCCAGCTCTCCCAGGGAGGAGAGGTGCTTCCCACATGTACCCCAGCAGCTGCCATGGGCAGCTGTGGAGAACCCCTGACACTGCTCTCTCTCTTCCAGCACAAACAGGGCAAGGTTGGCCCTGATGGCAAGGAGCTTATTCCTCAGGAGTCTCCCAGAGTGGGTGGCTTTGGATTCGTTGCCACTCCTTCTCCTGCCCCTGGTAAGAAATAGGCTATAAGCCCAGGCTGGACAGGGCTGAATACAGGCTAGACCCTCACATATGTGACCTGAGATACTCCAGAGTACCATACCTTGTTCTGGTCTTCCCTGTGGTGGGAGGGAGCCGACTGCTAACGTATGTGCCTAGTTCTTACCCATCTAGATGTGGGGAGTTGTGTAGGTGGGGAGGTTCTGGTCACCAGGCCTACACTCTCGGCAAGGGGGCAGGTGATGTTTGAGCATCCCTGTTGCACAGCCCTGCCCCTTTGTCCTACTACACACTAGCCTCCACACTCAGTGCTGGTTGCCATATTATGACAAGACTGTGAAGGCACCATAGTGCCGCACTGGGATTCAGGAAACTTTGGAAGGCCAGAGTGTTTTCTTCCATTGCCATCCCTAGCCCTATGCTAAGATAGGGTCTAACAGACCCACCTTCCACACCTAAATACAACTCTCTTGACTTTGGGGCTCTGGTGTCTTTGAAATTTCCCTTCAGATGATAGGGTCCTAGGACCCCCGGTTTCAGGAAGAACAAGAGTTTGCCTGTTGGCTTTAATGTCAGCTAGGATACATGCACTAGGTCCTTTGGCTTGAGGTGTGGTTTCTCCATCTGCAGGTGTGAATGAGTCACCACTGATGACGTGGGGAGAAGTTGAGAACACACCACTGAGAGTCGAAGGGTCAGAGAGCCCCTATGTGGACAGGACACCAGGACCAACGTTCAAGGTGGGTTGTGGTGAAAGATAGTCAGGCTGGGACCAAGTTTGGATGCCTTAGTACCTGCTGCTCAGGACCAAACACAGACACTGAGCTTAGTACCTGTAGCCCAGTACCAAGCACAGACACTGAGCTTAGTACCTCCTGCTCAGGACCAAGCACAGATACTGAGCTTAGTACCTCCTGCTCAGGACCAAACACAGACACTGAACTTAGTACCTGCTGCTCACAACCAAGCACAGACACTGAGCTTAGTACCTGTTGCCCAGGACCAAGCACAGGTACTGGGCTTAGTATTTGCTGCTCAGGACCAAGCACAGGCACTGGGCTTAGTATTTGCTACTCAGGACCAAGCACAGACTCTGGACTTCTGCAGAAAAGAGCATTATGATAGGACTATCAGACAGGGATTTGAAAGAGTGGAGACCATGGCAAGGCAACAAAGGCAGGTCTGGAGGCTAGACTGTCACAGAGTTAGACCAGAAACTCCCAACTGCCCTGTAGCTCTGAAGACTATGGCATGTAGTATTCACCCCCAGAAGGACTATATGGTAGCCTCTGGTTACATAGCATAGTTAAGGATGCTCAGGATAGTACAGTATGAACCCAGCATTGTAGGAGTGAGTGGAATGGAGCTGGAGACCTAGAGCAGACCAGAAAGGCTGAGTCAGATAAGGCCTGGTGGACATCATGTGGCCTCTCTCGAGTGGAGCAGGAAGCTAGAGGTGGACAGACAGACAGCATCTACAGTCAGGTGGCCCCCATTGGCATGGGTGGGTTGGGTGGGCAGATGTGCCCCTGAGAGCTATGGAAAGAGTACAATGTACAGGGCTTCAGGGAGTTTGTAGATAAAACAGAGTCTCCTGTAGTTTGGAAAATGAAGGAAGAAAGTATACATCCTTGAGAGTATACATCCTCACTATGAGGGTACTGAGCCCCACTGACTCAGAGTATTACGTGGGCAGGCCAAGAATGTAAATCTTCTTTGGAAACCCAACAAGAGCAGGTGTAGTGTTGAATAAATATATAGGTGTGCTTTGGTGGCTGGGTCCCAGGTCATCTTACGCCAGTCCCTCTAACTCCTGGCTGTGATCATTGTGGAGTGTGGTAGAAAGAGATCATATTAGTGCAGCAGTAGAATCAGAATCACCAGGAATAACAAAGCTTTCCTAAAGCAAACATCAGACTTGTGCTGCAGCCCTGACCCTGCTTTCCTGGCCCAAGCCAGGAGACATGGCACACTGGGTCCTTTCCCAGAGCTGGTAGAGGTTAGGTACTACACACCTAGACAAATCCTGAGTATAGGTTTTGGAGGTCTTGGTGATAGACTGTGTCTGGGATGTAAGATAACCAAGACAAACATGAGAGGGGAGCAAACAATATACGCTGTGGAACAGGAAAGTATGGCCTAAGGTGCTGACACGCAGGAAGTGGTCCTAGACCTGCAGTGACCTCTACCAAGACAGTGAGTTCTGAAACAGAATAAGCCTGGGCAGGCTCTGCGGGGGACAGTGGCAGGCTGCTGTGTCCACTGTTGCCAAGTGTTAAGCAGGGTGGAAAACTGGGGACAGACAAGAAAGAATGGAGGGTACGGAAAAGATGGTGTTTCAGGTGGTACAGGATTGCAAGGCCTTTGAGGATTAAGTAAACTAGGTTCTGAATATTGGTAACAGTGCAATAAGTTCCAAAAAAGTGAAATCCTTAAATATAAACAGTAATTTAAAAACCAACCAGAAGGTAATGTTGTAGTTTAAACTATTTGGTTTTATTTTTGGTTTTTGTTGTTGTTTTGCATGGTGCTGGGGATTTAACCCAGGACCCAGTTCCTGTACACACCCTCGACCTCTTGTACTATCTGAAGTGCTGGGGCTAGCTTTTTTGTTTGCATCTTGAGACGGTCTCACTATGTAGCTCGGATTTGCTTGGAACTCAGTGTGTGGCTCACACTGCCCTCAGAGTCACAGAGCTCTGCCTCTCAGGAGTTGAGACTGAAGGCATGGGCCACCACTGCCAGCTCCCAGCCCCTTAGTTTGTTGTTTTACATTATTTATTTGTGTGAGTATGTGTGTTAGCATGTACCATGTACACGTATGGAGGTCAGCAGTGGTTCTCTCTTACCACCGTGTGGGGGTTCTCAGGATGGGATTCAAACCAGGTCATCAATCAGGCTTTTAATAAACACCTTTACCCACTGAGCCATTGCGCTTTTTTTTTTTTTTTTTTTTTTTTTTGGAAGACGGGTCTCACTGTGTATGTAGCTCAGGGTGGCCTCGAATTATATAGTCTCCTGTCAGTTTTTAGGATTGCAGGAATGCACCACTATATCCAACTAGGGGTGGGGCTGAGGCTTTTTGACAGGCTATTGGGAAAGATGAGTAGCTGGGATTGCAGCAGCCATGGAGAAGAGGTGGGTACCCACAGCAGCTGCTCTTCTGGGTAATGGACTGCCTGGCAGGTCACAGGTCACCCACATGCCTGATGTCGTGTAGATCTTAGAGCCGGGACGCAGGGAGCGTCTGGGCTTGAAGATGGCCAATGAAGCAGCTGCCAAAAACCGAGCCAAGAAGCAGGAAGCGTGGCGGAGAGTTACGGAGAACCTGGCCAGGTGAGAGGCAGCTGGGCCCTGGAGTAGGCCTGCGGGTGGAGATGAGTTTGTGCCTGCCTCAATCCTACTCTCTGAGCCTCCAAGGCCGCGCATGCACATGGCTGCAGTACAGAGCCTCTGGTAGAGCCACAGGCTTTTCTCTGTGTGCTGCTGCTCCCCCCAGTGGTGCTGTGTGGGAGAAGGCTCGAAGCCCTCCGTCATCTTTCCTCAGTATCCCCCTTGGCCTTTACTAAGAGGTATCTTTTGGCTTCTTGCCTGACTGTGGGCTCCTGTTAGTTCTGTGGGGTCAGCATCATTCATGTTAGAGAGAGGTGGAGACTAGCTCTCAGAAGTCTGTGCATTCAGCCCCACAGCCAAAGAGAGCAGTTCCACAGGCCCTTGGGTTTGGCCTGATGGCTGTGTGCCCAGTGTTGTCCTCCTCAGCCCAGAATGACCATGTCTCTTGATAGGGCTCCTCTTGAGGGGCTAGGGAAGAACTTGCTTTAAGCAGCCCTTGACCCCTAATATGGTTACTTTTTTTCTGTCCCTTCTCTACAGTCTTACTCCCAAAGGCCTGAGCCCAGCCATGTCCCCAGCCCTACAGCGCCTCGTAAGCAGGACAGCCAGCAAGTACACAGACCGTGCCCTGCGGGCCAGCTATACACCATCCCCAGCACGCTCTACCCACCTCAAGACCCCAGCTGGTGGGCCGCAGACCCCAACGAGCACACCAGCCCCTGGGTCTGCCACACGTACACCCCTCACACAGGACCCAGCCTCCATCACAGACAATCTGCTGCAGCTCCCTGCCCGGCGCAAAGCTTCAGACTTCTTTTAGAGCCAGGCCTGGCTGGAATTGTGGATGCTTTGTGGGACACTTTGTGGAACGTGTAAGGCAGCTGTCTACTCCTCAGAGAACTCCAGGCCTTGGAGACCCAGACCACAAGCAGTTGATTATCCCTGGAACCACAAGTATATAGTCTGTGCCATGGCCAGGTTGACACATTATCCTGACCACTCTCTAGGGAGTATAGCATTGGTGCTATTCCCCAGGGCCCTGCTGAAACTGCCTTCTAGCCAACCCCCAAGTGAACTCTCATTAAAGAACACCTGGCACTGTCTGGCCGGGCTTCTGATCCATGTCGTGGGGCCTACCTGGGTGTCTCGGGCCCTCAGGGTCAGAAGCCAGGGGCTTTATGAGGGGAAACTGCATAGCCCACAGAGCTGCCTCCTGTGCTGAGATCATACCTGGGCCTTCCACTGTGAAGGTAACACAAATCCCAAAAGTTGCGCCATTGAGCTGATGTGTGTCTGGGTCGAGCTCCACTGCCTCCCAGCCAGGGCTGACTGTTAAGTTTGTTGGTTACAGGCTCAGGCAGGCCCTGCGTATCAAGCTCACCAGGACAAGTCTCTTTTCCTGTGGCTTCAGCTGTTACCTCCCAGCAATCTGGCTTCCAGCCCAGGGAGGGCTAGGCTGCCTCCCTGTCCCACTCTGTGCTTACCCAGTATTCTTGGCACTGCCTGTTGGGCTCTGCTGAGACACCAGCCTTATATCAGCCTGGGCTGATGTAGGAAAAGAGCAAGTGTGGGCTCCCTGCAAACCTGCAGATGCCAGCAGCAGGCCATTTGCCTATGGAATAAAGTTAACTAGCCCTCGGTGACCAACTAACCCTCAGGAGGCCAAGTAGGACTTGTGAGCATATGCCTACAGAGCTGCAGGGTCCCTGCTCTCTGGACCTATGCTCTCTGGACCTAACAGAGTTCAAGACTATAATCTAATTCCCCAGCCAGTGGCCTTCAGGCCACAGTGATGCCTAGTCTCTGAGCAGCCCAGGGCTTAAACGCACCTGACTCTTTGATTCCATGAGAGCCACATTTTCCAGTCTGCTGGCATTGGTCCCCTCGGGCCTCTGCGCTCATGTTCTCTGGAGACAGCCTAGGTTGGGCACCTCCTGCCCAGGGCCTTGTCAGTTTGACACAATCAAGAGTCACCTGGGAAGCAGGCCCACTCCTCAGATTGGCCTGAGGGCACGTCTGTGTGCATTTCTTGATTGGGGGTCAATACAGGAGGGCAGGGCCCAGCAGTGACATCCCTGAACAAGTAGTCCTGGCTTGAGCAAGACAGTAAGCTAGAGAGGAAACCAGGAAGCAGCACTCCTCCATGGTCTCTGCCTCAGCCTCTACTTGAGTTCCTGCTCTGGCTTCTCTCAGTGATGGACTGTGACCTGAAAGTGTGAGCTCAAATAAACCGTTTCTTCCCTTAAGTTATTTTTGGTTAGAGTGTTTTATCAAGGCAACAGAAGCAAAGTAGGTGGCAGTGAGGTGGCTCTCTTGGGACCCTCAGGGCTAGAGCTGGGATCTCAGGCTAGGGCTTGGGTTTTTTGTTTGTTTGTTTCTTTCTTTGGGGGTTTTTTTGGTTTTTGTTTTGTTTTGTTTTTGTACTTTTGTCTCTCAGGGAAGGTTAAGCTTTAATCCAAAGCATTCTCCCAAATGGGAAGTAGAGACAGAAAATGGGTGCTGTCTGCCTCAAGCATTTGGCCAGCATGAGGGAATCTTTAGGAAGGGATGGTAACCAGGAAATAGCATTGAGGTACTTTTTTTGATTGAGGGTTTCTGGGGGTTGGGCATTGCAGGTCTACAGGTTAGAGAAAATAAGCTCAGTTGGGCTGCCCCATTCCTGGTGACGGTGAGGGTGAGGCTTGAGCAACAAAGGTCTCTGATTCTGATTGCCTTTGGGGTTAATGAACAAGACAGGGTCAGGTTGGCTTTGTTGCTTAAGATAGGCCTGGAGCTGTCCAGTCCTGGAGGCCTTGGGAATGGGAGAAAGTCAGAGGCCAGCAAGTGAGCCTGGCAAGAGGACCATGACAGAGGTGCCCTCTGCCACAGGGCTCGCTGAGTCTGCCCGTGCCTGAGTACAGGTTCCTGGACCCCTATGCTGGAGATCCCCGCGCTGGATGAGTCCTAGAGAAAAAGACTCCCCACTGGGCACTCTCAATGCTTGTATACACTTTGTGGTTTATTTGGTGGTCAGTAATTAATGTCTTTGCTACTAAGTGGAAGAAAGCTGATAGAACGTAATCAAAATAGTGGTTTAATTGACGGATTTTACTTGTTCCTTGCACCTGTGCCTTCTTCAGCTCCTACCTGCCTATTTAGCTTATGTGAGTGCAAACTGCACACCATGACCCCCTAGGGCCCTCTCCATCACTAGGTACTTGCTTTCCCCACCTCAGCTCCAGAGACATGATGGTCTTTAGCTCTGGAAGTCTCAGCCAGCCTCTCCTCCATCCTGTCTTCATTCTCCGGTGCAACCAGCAGCCGGTGCTGGGGTTTAGGCCCCAGCTTGTGGTCAGGTCGGTGTTCAGGTCTTGAGCCTGGTCGAGTATCTAACTTGCACTCAGCTCGATACTTGCCCTCCCCCTCCCTCTTGAAGGAGGCAGAAGACATGGCTTTGGGCTTGGGGGGCTGTAGCCACGAATGGCTAAGGATCTCATCAATGTGCAGCCGCCGGTTGACATCTGGCTGTAGGATACGGTAGATGAGGTCCTTGCACTCACCAGTCAGGTTCTTGGAGCGTGGGAAGTCCACTCTGTGCTCCTTCTGGATGCGCAGCATCTTTTTGATGTCAGAGTCATCGTAGGGCATGGAGCCACAGACCATGATGTAGAGGATCACACCCAGGCTCCAGATGTCATACACCTTGGGCTGGTAGGGGATGCCCTGCAGCACCTCAGGGGCCGCATAAGCTGCTGACCCACAGAAGGTTTTGCTGAGGACGATGCGCCCGCTCCCGTCCCGCAGGCAGCGCTTGGAGAAGCCGAAGTCAGACAGCTTGATGTTGAAGTCCTTGTCGAGCAGAAGGTTCTCGCACTTGAGGTCTCGGTGGACGACATCCAGATCGTGGCAGTACTTGACGGCTGAGGAGAGCTGGCGGAACATTTTGCGTGCCACATCCTCATGCAGGGCTCCTCGGCACTTGATGAATTCGAGGAGATCGCCCTGGACACCCAGCTCCATGACAATGTAGATGCGTCCATCAGAGGTCTCAAAGATCTCATAGGTCTTAATGATGGAACGGTGATTGACGGTCGCCAGGATGTCCATCTCCCTAGGAAGGAATCTCTCCACAAAGTCAGTGGGTGTTTTCTTGCGGTCTATGATCTTCACTGCCACATTGAACTTGAGGCGCTCAGAGTAGGCAGACTTGACTTTTGCGTAGGAGCCCTTGCCCAGGTTGATTCCCACGATGTAACCCTTCTTCCTTAGGACCGCGGCATCGTCCATGGTGCCAGGAGCGGCCGGTGCGGCCGCCCTCTACATCCCCTCCCCACACGGGCCAGTAGGCATTGCCCTTATTCCCACTGTGGGGAGGCGTCTGGCTGGGCTGGGCCTGGACTTGGAGGAGTGGAACGCTCGGCATTGTCACCAAGTGACCAGCGAATGAAGTCATAAAGCCAGGCTGCTGGGAGTGAGGGCTAGGCTGTGGGGAATGGGGCCCCTGGAAGCCAGGAAGGCCTAGGCCCTCCCCACCCAGTGGAATGAAGCTGGCCCTAAGGGAGGTGATCCAGGGCCAGCCCCATGCCTGTTTCCCTATCAGGCCATGGGATCTGGTCCTGTGTTTGTCCTCATTTCACTAGAGCCAATTCCCTGCCATTTCTTTGGGTTTGAAGAAAACCTCCAGTGAGCATGTGTCAGTCAGTGGAAGCTGCCCAGTGGTGGTCCCAATCTGCTGGATTAAAGCAGTTCCATGTTTGGGGTCTGGAGGTGGCAAGGGTCTTTGGGCTACAGAGTGGGCAGATGAGCCACAGCCAAGGTGAACAGGTGTGTGGGGGTGGGAGGGTAGGTAGTGCTAGGGGATGTACTGAGGGTCCAGGATAGGCAGGTTCATGTTCAAGGGGGTGGGGCAGGTGTGGAGGATGGAGAGGCTTCAACCAGATATAAAAGGTGTTGAGGGGCCCAAGCAGGCAAGTGCTGAGAATGGCTAAAGTATAAGTCAGGAAAGTTCTTTCTCTCTCTCTAAATGATGAGCAGCCTGTATACAACCTACATCTCTTTTAAGATGGTTGCTATTAGAAAGAGAAGCCAATTGGCTTTGAAGCATATGGACATCTGGGTCCTTGGGCCAGAGCAGGCCTCTGGGGATTGGAATGGTGGTGGAGTTGGGAGAAGCCAGCCTGGTCCTGGTTGGTGAGGAGGGGACTGTGTTGGGCTTGGTGCTGGATAGCCCAGGGATTGCTAGCCCTTAGCATTGTCCCTGAAAGAAGCTTCTGCATGGAGAGGGGGCTCCTAATCCCCACCGTGGGGCTTTGTGAGCAGCGCTTACATGAAGTGGTGTGGTGTTGCTCACCATTTGCACGTTGGACTGTCTTCTATGGTTTTTTTGCATGAATGTTTTGCAAAGTGGCATGCTGTATACATCTCCTCCTTGGCTACTTTAGAAGTCCTGTATTCATTTTCTCATCTCACAGGAGTCTTTTGCTCTCAGTGAGTTGCCAATATGCACTCAGAGGGAAAGCAAGAAGCCCTTTTTCTAGTTGGGGAGGTGGGACAGAAGACTTCACAAAGAGGAAGTGACACCACCCAGGTACAGAGGAGTTATCAGGTAGACAAGTGGGAAAAGATAATATGGGAACAAGAATACACCATAGAGGCCACCTTGAAGTCCTGGTGCCACTCCAGGTGGCTGAGTCAGAGTCAGCAGCCCCCATGAATGGTTCAGAAGGATAAGGCCATATTTGGAGCATTTGGCAAAGCACTCTGGGTGCTGTGCTTTCTGGAGCAATCTCACCTTCTCTGAGCTACTTCTACACCCTGTAAGGCACACAGCAGGAACTCGTATCTCTTCCTACCCCACCTGTCTCCTAGTTGAATTTCAAGCAGCCTCAGGTCATCGTGATGTCTTCTGCCCCCAAATCATGGCAAGACTACAGGTATGAGAGGGCAGGAGCCAGCACCTCCCACCCTCACCCCCAGCCATCCTCATATGTCTGGAGCCCTGTGTTCCATCCAGGTTTCTTCATGGGGCTTCCCCAATCTTTCTCACTCCAGGGTTGCCTGAACCCTGGATACTTGGTCCTCACAGGCAAAATTCACAGAAGCAGGTGGCATAGTGTTGCTTGGTCCCAGAAGGCTTTGAGGAGGACAGAACCCCTTGGCTGAGCCGGGGAAGATGGGTACAGTCTTCAGAGGTAAATTGGCAAGTATGTTTATGGCACATGTGTTGGAGTACAAGGATGAGGGGCTCTTGATGGGAAGATCAGAAGCTAGCACGGAAATCCTTTCTGAGGGTGGTGGAGGTAGCCTGTGTGCAGCTGTGAACTCTGGGAGGTGATGGGTGGGTCAGCAGATGATGGGGTGAAGGTGGGATGGCTGTGGTGGTGGGGTGTAAGAAGAATACATTCGGGAACTCACTGAACACCGCTTCTCCAGGGTTCTTGTTGTTGGTGTCTTCCCAGGTTGGACACATAGGTGGGGGCAGGGTTGAGATGAGTCTAAATGTTCTCGTTTTTGTGTATTAAACCCTTAGACCTCCATGAGGTGGCCCAGAGTGAGGTGAAGAGAAAGGGCCCACAACAGCAAGGTGAGGACTGTCCGGGGCACGGCGTAAGCAAGGCAGGCACCACATGGCAGCCAGGGGTGCCAGGTGCAGGCCATGCCCATGTGAAATACCAGTGGCTGCCTTCCTTGCCCATAGGTTTCAGACATGCTGCCAGTTTTGCTTTGCCGAGGTTGGCTTCCAGCTCTGCTGGGGTGATCTCCTCTGGAATGGGTTGGGATTGGAGGGTAATGGGATGCAGTTAAAAGCTATGCAGGGCTGTGGGACTGCTCGGGTTAACTAATGGAGCCCTGTGTTTCTGGGCTGGGAAGTGATGGTGTGGAGTAGTTTAGGGCACAGTTGGGAACTGGGTGTCAGCTAGACATGGAGGAACATGATGGGCAGAGCTGAAAAACCAGCTGCCAAACAAGTTGGGGAGTTCTCAAAGTAATATGGGGCTGGTCAAATGTGCCTTTTATAGTCTCCTCAGCTCCTCACAGGTGGGTTTGTGCAGCCCGAAACACTGGGGTAAATAAGGAAACACCCACCTAGACCCTGAGCCCCTGATGCAGACATCTAGCTCTCCCAGTGCAGAAGGGCTCTGGCTTCTAGCCCTTCCTTGGCAGGCAGCCATGTTCATCCTTGGACTGTCCTCTCCTTGCTTTCTCTCCACCCTTGCCTTCTCCACCCTTCTCTGCACTTATCCTCCCTCTAGAACTTTTATCTTTTTTACTTAGCCATCATCCCTCAAATCTCCCCAGCCAGCCTTTCACTGGTACAGCTGCCTCAGTCAGCAATGCCTGAGGATACAGTCTGGGCTTGGGGCACAGGAATGGATTTTCCCATGAATGAAGACAAGGGGAAGCCCAGGACTCCAGTCATCTGGGCAAAGACATTCACCTTAGGGTCTGCACCAATATAGTTATTTATTGCTTCTTTAGCCACGTGAGTTACCAAGTTCAAAGGGGGGGAGAAGAAAGTGACGAAAATAGCAGCTCATCCAGGACTGTCTTCTCTCTCTCGTCCCTTGACTTCTAGGCTCAGGCTTCAAGCCGTGAGCTCTGCCTCATTCCCTGCTGGCCCCCTGGGCTGTAAGAGGCTCACTAAGTATGTGTCTCTGGAGTCTGTTGGGGGTGCCCTTCATCTATATCCCTGCTCCCTTCACTGCTGAGGCCCAGGTTCTCTGACTGCCTGGCCACCTGCACAGTGTCTTCCTGGAGTTTTGTCTCAGGCTGGGCCTCGGGTCTTGCCTCTTCCCTAGGCTCCAACTTGGTGGCAGATTTCTTATCAGCACCAGGTTCAGGGGTCCATGTTGGCTCAGTGGCTCTGGAGCTTTCCCCCTCCTTGTTGATGGCTCCAGAGGACAGACCTCGTGCCTTGGGCTGCACCCAGCAGTGGCTGAGGATCTCATCAATGTGCAGCCGCCGGTTGACATCTGGCTGTAACATTCGGTAGATGAGGTCCTTGCACTCACCGGTCAGGTGTTTAGAGCGTGGAAAGTTGACACGATGCTCCTTCTGGATGCGCAGCATCTTCTTGATGTTGGAGTCATCGTAGGGCATGGAGCCACAGACCATGATGTAGAGGATCACACCCAGGCTCCAGATGTCATACACCTTGGGCTGATAGGGGATGCCCTGCAGCACCTCAGGGGCCGCATAAGCTGCTGACCCACAGAAGGTCTTGCTTAACGTCAGCCGACCACTGTCGTCCCGCAGGCAGCGCTTGGAGAAGCCGAAGTCAGACAGCTTGATGTTGAAGTCCTTGTCGAGCAGAAGGTTCTCGCACTTGAGGTCTCGGTGGACGACATCCAGATCGTGGCAGTACTTGATGGCCGAGGAGAGCTGGTGGAACTTCTTTCGAGCATCATCCTCTTGTAAGGCTCCTCTGGTTTTGATGAATTCGAGGAGGTCACCCTGTACCCCAAGCTCCATGACAATGTAGACCTTGCCATCTGATGTCTCAAAGATCTCATAGGTCTTGACAATAGAGCGGTGGTTTAGCATGGCCAGAATCTCAATCTCCCGGGGAAGGAATTTCTCTAGGAAGTCCGTGGGGGCTTTCTTGCGATCGATGATCTTGACCGCCACGTTGAACTTCAGGCGCTCAGAGTAAGCGGATTTGACTTTGGCATATGAGCCCTCTCCCAAGTTTATCCCCATGATGTAGCCTCGTCGCTTGAGGACGGCAGCGTCATCCATGGTGCCGGGAGTGCCCAGTGCCTCTGAGGCTGCCCTCTACATCCCTGCCAGACATGGGCCAGCAGTGTCCTCATTTACACTGTGGACAGAGAGTCCTCTGAGATGGCCAGGCCTGCTGTCCCTGCCTCCTGAGAGACCCAAGACTCTAGTATGGAACATTCAGTACTGTCTCCCGGGTGACTTCAGTAGGTGAAGTCACAAAGGAGTGCCCTGGGGGAAATGAGGCTATTACCTGATCTGCTTAGACTTAGAACCCGGAAGGTCTGCCAGTGTACCGGAGCAGGCTAGAAGTGAACAAAATGGCTTCATGCTTTGCTCTAACCTGAGGTAAGAAAGGCTTATGAGACACAAAGGCCTGCCCATGTTTCTAAACCTAGAAACTGAATTTCTGTATAGTGGCATGGCTCATTATTGCAAACCAGGTCAATGCTGGGGACCCAGGATGGGTTGTCCTATCAGTCAAGGGTCCCAGCAGGAAACAGAAGTTATGCTCAGTTAAGGATAATCAGAGGAAGTCTTGATAAAGCGGTGTGTCACAAAGGTAGGAGCAAAATGTAGAGACCCCTGTAGATAATGCCATGCCCTAAGGGAGTAGCGGACCCCTGACCCACATGGTAGAAGGGAGGTAATGGAGAGGACCACCCTGAGAGTACCCTCTGAGAGGAGAGGAGCCAGGCTGCAGCAGCTTGACAGGCCAGTGGTCAGGAAGCCATTTGTGACCCCACCCATTCAGCTCTTGATGCTGTCTACACAGGCGGTCCTCCGAGGCACAGGGCAGGGCTGGGAAGGGCGGGGCTGATCTTCTGGATGTATGTTGGGCACTGTGACAGACCTGGGCCTACAAGTCTGAAGATTCTTCAGGTCCTTTACCTCCTCTGGCCCAGGCGTGGTGGGGGTTACTGTTCAGGGAGTGTTCATCCTTGGACTGTCCTCTCCCTGCTTTCTCTCCACCCTTGCCTTCTCCACCCTTCTCTGCACTTATCCTCCCTCTAGAACTTTTATCTTTTTTACTTAGCCATCATCCCTCAAATCTCCCCAGCCAGCCTTTCACTGGTACAGCTGCCTCAGTGTGTGCTTTCACTTATGGTTCAGTTGGTTCTCACTTCTTACACTGCTCTTCTCTTCCAAACCTTCCCTGGTCTCTTAACAGTTCCTCTGCAGGTGGACAATTGGCAAGAGTTCTGCACCTGGCTGAGTTCCCTCTTAAGGACCTACCCAACCCATAGTTCTGTCTGAGCTCCCAGGGCAGACTGTCAGTGGGGGTTGGTGCGGGGGCGGAAGGCTAGATCTGGATTTAACTGAGAGCTGGAATGTGCCACAAGAACTGTATATGTGCCGAGGGCAGTGCTGGACAGATGCCTTTGCCTCTGCCAGCAAGGGGCTCCTCCCCTTTTGTGATAAGACCTGTGTCCCACAGCTTGGGCTAAGACCTGGGAAAGTTGGAATATCTGATGGTTTGACCTAATTCTGGGTTTGACCTTGGCTTTACCCACCTAAGAAAAGTTAGCATCCCTCACTCACATGGGTCCACCTGTCCTAGGTTGGAATACTGGGACTTGGTGAAGAGGCCCTAAAGAGTGAGTCAGGTATATTCAGGGTGACTAGCCCTCCCTGTTTTCTCTTTACTTCCTTCCCCAGGGCTCATCACCCAATGCCAGGCCTGTACATAGATGATAGTCCTTCCCCTGAACAGAATGCTTCGTCAGCTGCTGTCTCTCCTTTCACAAATTCATGCTGTTCATGAGGGCAGGTGTGAGTTCGGCATGTGGAGCCTCGTTCACAGACTGTAGCCTCGTCTCTGCCTGGACTTTTTCTCTTTCATCGTATAACCAGGTCCTTCCCAAGATCTGGTCATCTCTGTTATTCTTTCTGATGTCTCTTAGGCCATTTCCTCCTCTGTTGAAATTATTTTGTGTCATTTCCCCATCTACTGAGGCTGCTGGCCCTCTAGTTTCACTAGAGCCCTTCGCTTTCTTCACAGCGGTTTTGGCCTTTAGAAGACCACTTGAGGGTGTATGTTGGGTACTGGGACAGACTTAGGCCTCCAGCAGTAAAGACCGTTTAGATTCTGCGCTACCTCCTCAGTTCTCTAATCCCGGGTCGTCCCCACTCATCCCAACTCGAGACCCAGGCGCATTCACTGTCAGTCTTTGCGGTCCTACCAGCTCTAGGGACCCCTTTGACCACCTCCCCACCAAGGCTGCGTCTCCCAGTCCCACCTCTGGGCTCGGCCAATGGCATGCTTCACTTTCTATATGCCCGCCCCCCCCGGCTCCGCCCACCGCCGCTCAGTCCCCAGGCCGGCTTCTTTCCTGTTCTCCTGCTCCCGTCCCGCCCCGGCCCTCCCCGCGTCTGCAGCGCGCCCGTCCTGCCTCTCCCCCGCACCCCCCCACCTGCAGCCCCCGCCTGGCTCGGCGTTCATTGGTTAGGGCGGGCTGGAGGCGGGGTGGCGCGGGCCAGAGCAGGACGGCCGCCATCTTGCGCGAGCCGGAATCCTGTCCCGCTTCTGCGGCCTAGAGTGCGCGCGAGTCGGTGGCTTTCCCTTGCGGCGGCCCAGCGTAGCCGCGGCCCAGCTGGATCCTGAGCCTGTCGCCTCTCTGCCCCAGACCGGAGTCCGGCCCTCACGCCCTCGTCTCGGCCAGGTCCGGCCTCCCCGCGGGGTCACGCGGCTGCCCCGGGGACGATGAACGGAGGATAAATGGTGCCCAAGGCAGACAGCGGTGCCTTCCTGCTGCTCTTCCTGCTGGTTCTCACTGTCACCGAGCCGCTGCGGCCAGGTGCGCGGCGCTGGGGGTGGGGGCGCGGTCGGGGGTGGGGCTGGAGCCGTCCTTCCACCCTCGGCAGCTGGACGGCCACTGCGCCTCGTCCAGCCGCAGGCGAAGCCCGGCTGCCGGCCTCTGGGCGTCCCCTGCCCGGACACAAGTTGAAGTGTATCTGGGTTCTGAGCCTCGAGGATGTTCCCTTTGGACCCACGTCTACCGAGCGCCGCGTGCTCTCCAGGAGCCACTAGCCAGGAGCTGCGTCTCGGGCGCACCCTTCTGCTGGGCAGGGTGGAAGTCTGGAGGCCGAAAGCGGCTTGTGGAGGCACCTGGTGTCCCAAGTGTCCGCCAGACTGTGGCCTGGTGCCAGTGTGGTTCAGCCCTGGACAGCGATGGCTGGTGGCTTAATGCCGCTTAGTGAAACGCTGCATCACAAAAGTAGCCCGGTCCAAAGGAGATACTGGGAGTAAGTACCTACACCGTGTGTAGGGACAGAGTCCTCAGCGGTGCCCTGCACTTAGCGCTTTGTTTGTGTGATGGGATTAATTCTTTTTGGTACTCCCTTGGAGTTTTGTGTGTAGTGGGGAACTTCAGGTCCCTCTTCTACCTCTACTTCTGAACTATGCAAGAAAACCCTAACTGCTCCCCACTCCCCAGACAAAGCAGGACTGATTTAACCGTCAGGCACAGGAGTTCCAGTACAGCCTCACTGTCCCTTTAGAAATCTGTCAAAAAGTTTTTATAAACAGCCCGTGTGTCTGTGGACTTCTGGGTATGTATTCCGTGTTAGTAGACTCATCTCTGACCTCCTGCAGTGTGACAAGTAGAGCTCTTAACGTTCTTAACAGGAAGGTTCCCATGAAGGAAGGGTCAAGTCTCCCATGGGTGACCTCATGTCTGGGTGTCAGATGGGTGCCCCTGCAGCAGTGTCTTAGCCCGGCTCCCATCCTGCAGCGTATTGCAATGCTTTGCTTTGTGCCTTCGTCACATATGGAAATGTCTGCTTGAGCCCCAGTGACCAAGACCCTAGGCCAACACTCAACAGAGCCCTTCCCTGGGCTGCAGGAGGGAACAGCCAGCTGCTCTGCACTGTGGGCCTGACTGGTTGGAAAATAGCCTGCTAGGAACTCTTGTGGATATGGTTCTCTTGCTGGGCTCATGGGTCTGTGTGTTCTTGTGGTTTCCATCTTGGTAGACCTGTAGACCTCTGTGTAGTCACCAGCCTTCCCATCCTGTTTCCTGGGTTCCAGTTTCACAGATGAGGTCTCTGGGCCTGGAAATGGAGCCACACATCTGTGCCTTTCTTTTGCCTCTTGTTCTAGGGCCAACATCTCCTGCCTAGGTCACATAGGCATCAATGTCCCTAACCATTTTTCCCTTGCTGGTCCATTTACATATATGGTCTGCCAGCTGGCCAAGAGCGGTTCAGGAAGGATATGTGAGTTCTTGCTGCCTACATCGCTAGAGATATTCAAATGCAGAGAACACAGCTTTCTCTTTACAAGTGCTAGATATTGAAGAAGAGAGCCAAGTGTGACTTCTTAGGGGTATTCCTGTATTTGTATGCCTGGGCATGGGAGCCCAGAGGCAGATGGCAGAGGCCATCCATTTGTACATGTGCAGCAAGGGAGGAGCTCAGTGGGAGGCAGGGGGCTCGAACAGTATGGATGGGACATACTGTGGAAGAGGCTCCAGTAGAGGCAGTAATGTGATCTTGAATCCATGGCTTTCTAGGTTGGAATTTGGCAACAGGTCCTAGAGCTGTCTGGTTGTCCTGCAAAATACTAAGCGCTTTAATGTTCCCCCTGACAGGGGCAGCAAAGACAGAGATTGCTGGGTCAGATTTTTTTCTTGTGTGCTATTGTGTCTCTTTACACATTCATTGTGTCTGTCCTGGGCATGCTGGGCAGATTCTTTCTAGCTGATCTTTGCAAGAAGAAGGTCCTTCTGTAGTATATTTGCTTGCTTCCTTTCAAGGTCCTAGGCCTGAACCATGCATGGCAGAGGATACTAGTTAGAACCCACCTCTTAGGAGGGAGGCAGATGGTTGTCCTCTTGCTCCTGCCCAGTGTTGTGAGGAGGAAGCAGGCCTGTGGGTTTCTTCTTTCAGAGATGGGGGTTTGGAGGAGGCAGTGTGTGGAGCAGGGCTTGATCTGTCTAAGCTTCTTTCTCTGTTCTTTTGTCTTTGTAATGCCAGGTAATGAAACCCAGGCCTTGTGCAACCCTAGGCAAGCACTGTGCCACTGAGTTATGCCTCTGGCCTCCAGGCTTCCTCTAAAATGAACATTTGATCTTGGTTGTTTGAGGATGTTACATGTCAGATACTGTTCTAAGCACTCTTGTGTTAGCCTTCAAGTGGTCCCTGGAAGACTGTTATTAGCCCAATTTTATAGACAGAGAAACTAAAATAGAAAACTCTCATAAAGCTAAGTGACCTAGATGAGATTTTAATTCTGAGAGCCTGGCTGCTTTGATCATTGTGCACCTTTGTCCTGATCCTTGTCCATCCTGGCTGCTTATGTTCAGTTTGGGCCTCATGTTATGCTATTGGTTGCTTGGTTGGTTTTTCAAGACAGGGTTTCTCGAGACAGGGTTTTTCTACGTAGCCCTGGCTGTCCTGGAACTCATTCTATAGACCAGGCTGGCCTTGAACTCAGAGATCCACTTGCCTCTGCCTCCCAAGTGTTGGGATCAAAAGTGTGTGCCATCATACCCAGATTATAAATTGTTTTTTTTTTCTTTTTTAATTTAAGTGGTTTTTTTTAATTTTTCTTATTTTTTTAAGACTTATTTATTATGTATACAATGTTCTGCCTGCATGTCCACCTGAACGCCACAAGAGGGCACCAGCTCTTATTATACATAATGGTTGCAGGGACTTGAGCTCAGGACCTCTAGAAGAGCAAGCATTGCTCTTAACCTCTGAGCTATCTCTCCAGCCCCTTATAAATTGTTTTTTAACTCCAGATGTGAAACCCCCAGCTGCCTTGGACCTCTGATGGGTCCCAGAGGTCCTTTAGGTGATAGTGTTAAACTTTTTTTCGTCTTAGTACTCTGCTCTGATTATTTCCCCCTTTTTTGTGGTTACCCAATACATTAAGACCTCCTGACTTGGGGAGAAAGGGAGTTTGGACCTTCGAAGTAGCTGTGACAAGAAGAGGAGGTAGGAGGGCCATGAGAGCCACTACTGGCCTTTTTTCCACCTATAAGGCGAGCATTACTTTTTTTTTTCCCTCACCCTAACAGTGTTTAAGCTCTCATTGGGAAACAAAGTTATGGCATAGTTTCAGCAATAGCTTTCTTCAGGGTTCCAGCATTCAGAGTTAAGAAAACTTGCCTTCTCAGCAGGGCCACAGTCCAAGGAAGCCTGGTACCTTCCCTGCCTGTGGCTGGCCCCATAAGAGGCCTGGGCCACCGTGGGAGGTTGTAGGTTTGGCAGCTATCTTCCATGTATTTCAGCTATGCTGCTCCCGGCAGGGAGTGACCTTTAAGTCACTTGCCTCACCCTGGCCTGGTTCATAGATGCTTTTCCTCTTAGCAATAGTGAGAGGTGGTCTAGAGACCAGGTCGTGTCCTAGCAGTGAGGCCAGATGCTCAGTCTGCATGTGGGTTCCCATAGCTACGGGAGGTGATCTCGCTGTACATTTTGTCTTCTTGGCAGTGATGGTAGGTCCTCCTAGGGGTGACAGTGGTTCAGTAGCTTATTTTCCCCTGGTGGGCTGAGTCTTTGACTATTAGAGAGTTCCCTTGCCTCCTCTGGGCCTTTGGTAGGTTTTGGATTCTGAAATGTCAATGACAATATGCAGGACCCAGTAAAGAGCCCATGACTACGCAGATGTCTTCTTTGGTGTAGAGTTCTTTCATTTGTTTGTTCATCGCCTATGCTTGCGCGTGCTGAGGACATCATGACATTTGGTTTCCCTCCCAGCCTGCAGAGCACATTGGTAACCTGGAAAGCCCAGTTTGTGGTCCCAGACAACTGAGAAAGATGCTTAAATTTAAAGTGTGGTTAGTCTGTGACAGCTTTGGTTTTGTCTCTGATTTGATTTTACCAACTGTTGGAAAGTTTGGTGGAAGCTATTCACATTTTGTCATGGCAGGCCTTGGTAGGACAAGTCCAGGCTGGAGGTAAATAGCTTGGGAGCCTGTGGTTATGGTGTAGTGGCTATGGAAATAGATGTCTTTGTGCTTAGATAGTGGAAGAGGGAACTGTAACTGTTATTTTATGTGACAAGAGGAATGGAAGTTATAGTTTTCTTTCTGTGGCTGTGATAAATACCACAGCCACAACAACCTGGGGAAGAAAGGGTTTATTTCATCTTACGGGTTACAGTCCATCATGAAGGGAATGCAAGGCAGGAACCTGGAGGCAGGAATTGACTTGCTTCCCCAGCCTTTTTAGACAGCCAACACCTACCTGCCTTAGGCATGGCTCTCCCCCCAGTGGAATGGTCTCTCCTGCATCCATCAAGAAAATGCTCTACAGACATGCCCACAGGTCAGTTTGATGGCCTGGTGTTAACAAAACTGACAGGTTATGCAAAGGTCTTTTTCTCATTCAGATCAATGACAGATGGTTGTGGTGGATTCACAGCCTGTACCTTGAAGCTACATTGCCTGGGGCAAGGTTCTCCTCTCCCTCTCTTTCTCTCCTGTCTCTTTTCTGCTCTTCCTCTTTCCCTTCCCTTCCTCCTCTCTAGATTACTTTTGTGCCTCAACTTCCTCACTTTGAATATAAATGTAATATGGCTTCACGGAGATGTAAGGATTACAGTGAGTAAGGAAATATTCCAAAAAGTGTCTGGTAAAAAGCAAATGCATGATACGGCTCACCTGTTGGTATTGTTCACAGGTAGATGTGAAGGAGTCTAGGGAACCCTGAAGCCCGTGAGCTAGATGGTGTGTGCATGCAGATCAGCAGAGCATCCTTGTAGAAGGCACGAGGGCTCAAGTGCAGTGGTTTCAAATCCCACCACACACATAGCCACTGCGGAATTTTCTTTGCTATCAGTTTTTTT